TCACTTACTGCCATTTCTGATGGGTTCAGGGTTTGAGTTCAATACCGTTACTTCTCAGGAAGAGCTTTCGGACCGAGTGGATTTTGGAGGTTGTCACCCAGCGTTATTAAATCATTTTAAATTGGATGCAATATAAAGTTGTGAATTGTATCCAATTGGTGGGGGTTTTTTTGTGTTGTTTGGTTGTTTTTTTTTTTCATTTTGCATACAAATTACCCTATGTAGCAGAGAGTCCATAGTAAGAGCTTCTGTGGTTTTGAACTTGAGCCTTTGCTGGGAAAGCATTTTGGATATTGGTTTTCCTAGAAGCTTGCCAGATATTCTGATGCTTCATTTTTTTAATTCTAACAAAAATCCATTGAAATGTATTCTGGTGGATATATCCTTGAAATGTAGAACAGAAAATTTCCACTGCCTTAATGACAGATGAGAATGTCCTAGGACTAGTACTTCGTGTATTAAGAAGCTTTAAATATGCTACGAAGTTTCTGGTAGTGGCTTCCAAGCCAGGATAGGAATGTGAATGGTGTTACTCGGTTTCTTGGGCTCAGGTTTTCTTTTGCTCTGTAATGGTTCAAGATCATGGATGGATGTTGAGTAGGAGTTGGGGGGGAGTGCAAGGCAGCCGTAATTCATACTGACCATGTGCTCTTTATTAGCAGAACAGAGAGTAGTGCGGTACAGTGCTTTACGTCCTCCGTGGGGCGGGAGGCAGGGGGGGAGATGGCCCTGTGGGGCGTTGGAATCAGCTAGGCTGTTACTGTGCATTACCGGTGTGCTGCTGTTTTCAAGGAGAAATGCTTATTTAAAACACAGACCCTGGGAATAGAAAATAAATATCAGCCTGTTGAGCGTAAGTCACACATCAGACATTACTAGTAAAGTATTGAAACATAAGTCAGTATTAGACCCCAAATGGGAAACAATAAATAAATGAGACGGAAAAGATTGTTTGGCAGGATACTTTCTCCTGAAAGAATGATTTGTATGGTTTCACTTCCAATAAGTTATTTTGTCCTGTAGTTCTCTTTGTTTCCTTCTGGGTTCTTGGTGCCCGTTTGCCAGCGTGTGATTGCTCCCGGGGAACACCCTGCGGCACCGTGTTCCTTCCGAGGCTGTGTCAGCCGGCAGTGGGTGCAGCATGCTGAAAAAGTGGCCATGTGTGCAGGCTACAGCTCAGTCCGTGCCAGTACTTCTGTGGTGGTCAGGTGCTTTGTGGTGGAGTGGGGGCTTTTTTGTTTGGTTGGTTTTTTGTTTGTTTTCTTTTTTCTTCTCCCAGTGCGTACTGCGGCGCACTGATATTCTCAACAAATGTGCGTAGGTGGTACATAACACTTCTACACTGCTTGAAATAGCAAAGGGCTACCTATTGAAGATCTTTTGTTAAATGTGATTCATTGCCCATCCTTGCCTCGTCCACAGGGGGGTCAAGCCAAGAGCCTCCGCAGGACCTGTGTGCCTCTTACTGTTTTAAGCATATTCGATGGGTTTTGGGAAAGGGAAGGCAGGAAAAGGGGAGACTAAATAATCATCTTGAAAGGTGTTGCTTTCTAAATGAAATTCCTCCCTGATCTTTGGTCATCTTCTCAAAAGGAATAGAAAGGCTTCAGATTGCGTGTTGTAAGGAGTGTTTATTGCAATATCGAAGTAACATGGTGTTTTCATTGGTATAATAGTCAATACTATACATTAAATAGGTGAGCGGGAAGAAAGCCAGGCTCACTTGCTGAGGAAGAATAAGGCACTGAAGTACCGGGTGCCAGACATCTATTTTACTGGGTAGAAAGCATTTAAAAATCTGTCTCTTAGGTTTCAAGACTGAAGGGAACTATTTTCATGCATTGCCGTTTATGCACGGCAGCCTGCATCGCGCAGGAGCTAATCTGTTCACAGAGCCCCGTAATGGGTGTCCTGGTACTGGAGCATGGAGCTTCCAGGTCATCTCTGATTGCCATAAGAAACCAGCCCATTTTTCATAACATACAAGTTTTGTACTGGATGAATTGAAAAATTTGGGAACTATTCTTCCTTTTACTAGTGCTGGTATTATTTTGTAGCCTTGAAAATCATAGAATCATTTAGGTTGGAAAAGACCCTTAAGATCGAGTCCAACTGTAAACCTAACACTGCCAAGTCCACCACTAAACCACGTCCCTAAGTGCCACGTCTACGTGACATGGCCAAGTGCCAGGTCCTGCCCTGGGGTCACCACAACCCCACGCAATGCTCCAGGCATGGGGCAGAGCGGCTGGAAAGCTGCCCAGCGGAAAAGGACCTGGGGGGGTTGGTCGAGAGGCGGTTGAACATGAGCCAGCAGGGTGCCCAGGTGGCCAAGAGGTTCCAGCAGCATCCTGGCTTGTATCAGGAGTGGTGTGGCCAGCAGGAGCAGGGCAGGGCCCGTGCCCCTGTGCTGGGCACTGGGGGGGCCGCCCCTTGACTGCTGGGGTCAGGGTTGGGCCCCTCCCTCCCCGAAGGACCTGGGGGGGCTGGAGCGTGTCCAGAGAAGGGCAGCGGAGCTGGGGAGGGGTCTGGAGCCCCAGGCTGCTGGGGAGCGGCTGGGGGAGCTGGGGGGGTTCAGCCTGGAGCAGAGGAGGCTGAGGGGAGCC